TATTTAGCGTTAGGTTCGTTAAATAAAAGAGTATAAATGAATTTTAAAAGGCTTAATAAAAATATATTCGGCAGATTAACTAGAGGCCAAATTTCTCAACATCTGATCTTAACATCATCCGAGTTGTATAACACGATCCTTTCCTAAGCAGAAGTTACACATACCAGTAAATCCATGTTTATCTTGTATATCTACATCAATGTCTTTTTCTATAAGATATGTACATAGACGTTTATAGCCTAACATAACAGCCATATGCAACATGGTGTGCTGTTGACGATTTCGAAGAGATATACTGTCATATTCTGTTTCAAATGCATCCATCAGGGCGAGTGTTGCTACTACATGTTCCTCAAAATTATCTGTCCTCGAAGCCTGACGTGCAAATGAGGAGAGATGATGTTGCATTCCATTCATATCTCCATTAGAATTATTTCCTGAATTTTGATTGTTATCAGTACCTCCAACAATTCGCATGGCAATGTTTCTCGCGTCTTCTAATTTTCCGGTCATTTTCATCCCTACAACCTGAAGTGCCAATTCCATCAACGCCCGATCTGAATCTAAATTATTTTAAGGGAAAGATGTGATAAGCAAAGTGAGAAAATAAAATAAATTTTTAAATTTTATATATAAGAATTAATTACCATCATTATAATTGAAAAAAACAACTTCTTGTTCAGAATTATCCGTTAGATTAATAGGAAATTCTTTAAAGCTCACAACAACAGGTCCTGGAGTAGGTGAAGGAGGTAAAAGACAAACTAGTGTATTTGGTGACCAATACTGGGTTGGAATTGCAGGAGTTTCACCAAATATGCACGTAAGCCCATCTTTTTTTTTTAAAATAATAATAATAATAATAATAATAATAATAATAATAAAAAATAAAAATAAAATTATATGAAATTTAAACAACTAATGAAATATGAAAAGAATTGGCAAATATACGTATTTATTTTGATTTAGTGTAACAAAAAAAAGACACATTATGTTAGAATTAATAATTTTGCTTAAAAT